TATTATTATACATAAACTACTATTATTATTATATATAGATAGATTATTATTATATATAAACTACTATTATTATTATTATTATATACAGGTATAGATAGATTATTATTATATACTATTATTATTATTATTATATACAGATAGATACGAATAGAGATATGAATCAACAGACAGACGAACGACAGAGACAGAGGGAGAGAAAAGCGAAGCCATCAATCGCGATCGCGAGCGCGAGGGAGGGAGAGAGAGAGAGAGAGAGAGAGAGAGAAAGGCTTTTCGAAGTCGTTTGGGTGTTCGGTTGTTCGATGGACTGATGGAGCTGCGATCTTCGACTGGATCGAAAGGATGGAGCTCAATCGAGGTCTTCGATCTTTGACTGGATCGACTGGTTCGACCAAGAAGAGAGAGAAGAGAAGAGAACATGCGTATATTGGCGTGTCGTGTACTCTTCGCGACTTCGCGTCTTCTTCTTCTTCTCCACTAGGGCTTTTTTTAATGTTTTTGCTCTTTTGACCCACGTTTGGATCATTTTATAATGTAAATGAGATGTCATCCCATGTGGGTGTCCACACAGAAAACAAATGGGTTGTTAGAGTGGAAGAAATGCGAAGTGCATGAAGCGCACACCTCGAGCTTCATTATAAAGTGCGCTCCACATCGCCTTGTCTGCACCTTTCCTATGTCACCTCGCCTCGCCATACATGAGGCGCTGAGCTGCACCTCGCCTCGCCTTGAGCTTAGGCGCGAGCCTAGGCGCGCTTTTTAAGACACTGGGCCCTACCTCCACGCATACCGGTAATGAGTACTTCCACGATCCTCACTGGATAGAGACAATCGATGGTGTATTCTCTGAGCCCCTCACACACAGACAAAGAGAACCCAGATCCGCCGAAGACTCGTCAGACTCCATGAAGCCATCACACTGGTCGCCAATCACACGGTAAACCTTCTCTCCACGAAGATGGAGCGGCAAGCCCATCACTCGAATCCATACCATCTTCTCTCGCATTGACGTCTTCCCCGAAGCGGAAAGGGCCAGAGGTGTCCACCATTCCAACACCAAATCACAACCATCAATGGTCCATCGCCGACAGATTAGAGCCTCCGCCTCGCGTCTGGTAGGCAAAATAAACAGAAAAGCCTGATCTCCAAGCGATCGCACCTCCACCTGCCCCGAAGCCTTCCACCATCGACTGGCCCAGTCTGACATAGCCGCAAAGCTCATTCCTTTGCCACCCATCTCCCTTAGTTAGCCTACCAGCGATCTATCCAGTATTTGAAACCACTCTACTTCCACTGTCGTGTGAACCGCCTTGACCCCTCCAGACGTGCAGTGATTTGCCACTACCATTGGCCTAGATGGCGGCGCCTTCCCCTACCTTCCACCATGTCGCCTCACCCAACCATTCCCTAACCCAAAACCATCAATAACCAGAGCCACATCTCCCCACCCATCTCCGAAGGCTGACATCGGAATGAAAATCTGTTCCCTTCGCTTCCCCACCATCACCACTATTTGGAACGACGAACCATCCTCTTCCTCTCCTCCTCAAACCCAAACTACAACGCTACGGCTACCCCCACTAAGTCGTCCCAAAAATCTGAGGGTTCCTGGGTCTGACGAGGCCGTCCGCATTTTTGCTACAATCCAATGTGCTTCATAGCCAACCAGCACTACAGCCCTTCTGAGCCCCTGACCCCTCTCCACAATCGATATGCTTCGACGGTCAATCGCATCCACTGACGACTCCTCTAGTTCAAATGACCGACCGTCGAGAAAAAGAATTCACTAGCGTGGTCCATCCTCTTTCATCACAGGTAATATTATTCTCTGCTAAAATCTCCTTTTCTTGCCCTATTTTAGATGTTAGTTTCTTCAAAGTTAAGATAAAGGAGTCTCACTTCTTATATTTTTGGTGATGAAGATGTACAAGGTCAAAGCCTTTGTCTTTTTCTTTGAAGAAATATGAACACAAACTGTTGGATCTAATCTGGGACTTCGCGGATCTCTCTATTGTGGGCAACTGTATTTCTGCAAATGAGATAACACACCCCCATCGGCATAATCCCCGAGGTTGCATATAGATTTATAGATTTGGAATAACGGGGATTTGGGCTTCACATTATTAATGCTTAAAGGGCTGGATTGTTGAGGTTGTGTTGGGAGAGTTGAGGGAAAGGATAGACTGACAGTAGGAGAAACATATCAAGTATAATACTTGTGCCACTAGAATCCTTAGCGGGATTGATTTCAAAAAACTTCATGATCTTTGTCTAAATCCGTTCATGGAGCTTGTTGAAATACGAAGCTATCATCCTTCAATTTTCAAGTGCAGATGTGTTCAAATTGAATCCATTGACCCAAAAGCAACCTAAAATTGTTGATGCCTTTCCTTTTCTATTTGGGGTGTGTCACAAGGTTTTAAAAAGCGACCGCAACCGTTACGTAACGGTTGTGGTAGTTACCGCCACCCATTATAGCCGCTTTTGTAGTGTGATTGAGGTTCACAGGTGTGTCGGCCGTAGCGACTGCCGTAGCAGTCGTAACGGTGCTGTAATGGCCTGTTACGCACCGTTATGTTATGGTTCCGAATTGCTTCTTTCGAAAAAAACACACAAAAAAAAAGCTGAAAATGGGAGAAGAGGGAAGATAAAGAGAGAAGATGGAGGAGCAAGAAATAGAGAGAGAGAAGATAGAGGAGCAAGAGATAGAGAGAGAGAGAAGAGGGAAGATGAAGAACATGTTATTAATTTGTTAAAGCTGTAAGACCTATGCTATTCTATTCAGCTGTTATCGCTCAACCATTTTGTTTGTGTGTGTCTATCTATATATTGTTTGAAAAAAAATAAAATAAAATAATAATAATAATAATTATGGTCATTATCTATTTGGCTTGGTTAAAATATGTATATATATATATATATATTTAAACTCATATTTATTCTCTTACTTTTGTCATTGTTTATCTTATATATAATAGTTACTGATTGATTTTTTGTATAATATAAAGTCATTAATTATTAAAATAAAATGTAAAAAACTCAGTTTATAGTGGTTTAAAAATATGAAGGGTGAATTACACTAACGGTTCCTGTAGTTTGGAGCTTGTGCCATTTTGGTCCTTGACTTTTCAATTGTGATACATTTGATCCTGAATTTTGAATCTTGTTCCCAATAAGGACAATTGAAGATACTATTGGATTTTTCAAGGGAAAAATCGTTAATTTGATAAAATATAAATTAATTTGACAAAAATAAATATTAAAAAATTATTTTTGAATTTTTAAAAATTATTTCTACCTACTAAAGATAAAATTTTATAAAATTGATAAATCATTTAGACATTTTATTTTTTTTTTTACCAAATTAATTTTTATTTTGTATTTGGATGATGATCATGTAAAATTAATTTTTAAAAATTAATCATGTAATTTTTATCAATTTTACATAATTTTATTTTTGGTGGATAAAAATAATTTTTAAAAATTTTAAAATATTTTTTTGACATTTATTTTTGTCAAATTAATTTATATTTTATCAAATTGACAATTTTGCTCTTGAAATTAAGTAATGGTATGTTAATTATCCTTATTTGGAACAAGATTCAAAATTCATGGTCAAATGTATCACAAGTGAAAAGTCAGGAACTAAAGTGACACAAGTCCCAAACTATAGGGACTATTAGTGTAATTTGCCCAAATATGAAATATGTTGGATCATACTTAAAAATTTACAAAAATTAATCAATATCTATTTTAAACCCAATAAATATGATCATGGAAAAAAAAATATGTGTATTGGTAAGTTTTTTTCAAATTGTGCGAAAAATAAAAAAATTCACGGTTCCGGTTACCGCAACCGTTACGCTACGACCTTTACACCCCGCAACCGCAACTGCACCACCGCCATCATTACGGCGACCGCAATCGCTTTTCAGAACTTTGTGTGTGTGTGTTTCTAGGATATGCATCTTAGTACTGCCGCTGATATGTGCATCAGAAAACGAAAAAAGTTAGTTGAATCAATATTTGTGGGTCTTCCAAAGGATTCCTTTCAGAATCCATTCTCTTTGGAAATTAGATTGAGCATTTCCCTTTTGGACCACATGCATCTTGTTTGTTTCAATGGTTAACACAGTGTGTGCGGACCATCAAGTTAAATTCTCTACATGATGTTTTCCTTCAAAAACTGGATCTAGTATGGACTAACAGATTCAACGATGAAACACATTTCAGCACCTTGTGGTTGGGGGCACAATGGCAATGGAATTATCTTGAGTTGCGGCAGGAAACACATCTTGCATTGAATACTGTTAGAATTTACCAATTTGCTCCTCCACCTACCATCTCCACTAGCACCCACTTCACCTACCACCTCCACTACACTACACCTACTACCACCTTCTCTTCTATATATAGGAGTTGTAATACATAACACAATATCAATCAATCTTGTAACATATCAATCAATCATCAATCAATAATACAATATTATTTAACAAATACTTAGGCGGTTATAAATCTGAATGGCTAGTGGGTAGTACATGCGTCTATCAAGCACGAACACCTCACCGGAGGTAACGTACAAGTGTCTGACACGTGTCGGACACGAACACACACTGGGCACGCTTTGGACACGTGTTGGACACGTTGGGGACCATTTTTTTTTTTTTTTGTAAATAAAATTTTTAATTTTTTTTACTAAAATAGCAAACCTAAAGTTGATAAATTTGATAAAATTAAATATTTGACATAAAATAAATATTGAATATTTAAAACTATGAAATATAAGAAATGTATAAAATTATATGTTTCGCACGTGTTCCCAATGTATTGTGTTTTATATTTTTTTGAAAATTTGCATGTACATGTTTCTTAGCATGCTGTTATTATGAAATTGCATGTTGATGTATCCTTAATTCTTTTTCAGCGTACAGTATATTTCTTCTTGTCATTGCATTAAACTTCTGATTTATTGTCTAACAAATAATTGCAATGGGTAGGTGCCTCCTCATTTACTTGATATGCATCATGCTAGAATGCCTTTGCCCCTTGAAATGGTAGAAGAGCCTGTTTATGTGAATGCAAAGCAATACCATGGGATTTTGAGGCGAAGGGAGTCACGTGCTAAAGCAGAGCTTGCAAGGAAGCTAATTAAAGTTCGAAAGGTCAACTTTTCAAATAATCCTTGTGTCATTGCTCAGAGCCTCTTATTTCTTAGGTTTTTTCTACCTTACATGATTATAGTTTATATAAATAACACTGTCAATGTCTGATTATCTAGATATCACACAATCATAGAATTATTTATTTATTTTTGTATTTATTGTGCATAGCTCTTAGACTATTGCAGGTCTTGATTTTTCCAGAACTTTATCCAGTTTTTAATTTTGACGTACTGTTTTTGTAATTTTTTCTTTCAGTTGAAAGATTGTGTAAGGTCCATGACATGATATGAGTAAATCATTGTGTTCAACTAATGAGAACCTATCGAAAAAAAAGAAAAAAGAAAAAAAAAAGTAAACATATTCGATTCACATTAGTGGTATAGAGGAAAAGCCTAGTAATTTTATGTAGATAGTTGCTTTATGGGGGTTGTGGAAGGCCCCACGACATGACTTGATTTGTTGAACATTGTGTGTTGTACTTCAATTATGTAAGGACCGAGCACATAAAAGCTGTGTTACATGGGTTCTTCTACTTTTCCCAATGTACCCATGTCCACTGGATATGATAAGGATAAGGATGTGAGATATGTATCCAACACCTATTCTCAATTTAGAAACTTGGATCCTCTAAATTTATATGTGTTAAAACCTATCACCTACTTCACCCACTTAAACCTACTCCACTAAACCTAACCCACTACACCACTACCACCTCCACTTCACCTACTCCTTACCTACTACACACTCACCCTCTTCTATATATAGGAATCATGAATCATTGTAATAAATCAATAAATATCAATCAATAATACATAAATTTTTACAATATGATATTTGAAGAACAAAATAATCATATTTGCTAGTAAAGAAATATTTTAAGGTTCTCACATGAATGAGAGGTATAAACTATATATATATATTTAAAATTCCATTTAATTTGATGTACATTTCTAAATAATTACAATATTTTATCTAAGAATATTATACTCATGGTTGTTTGAATTCGCGATACGATTCACATGATTCAATACGATTTTTGCACACCGCAATTCGAATCTCCACCTAGAATGACAAATTCAAAGGAATCGTACGATTCATATATTGAATAGTGTGAATCTCTTTGAATTGACAATGCATGCGAGTTGAACGATTCAGTTCGTGTGCTTTTTTTTTTCCCCTCCCAGCAATCGTTCGGAGTCTTAAGCCCCCCCCGTAGTGAGGGGCTGTTGTGTGAAGGATTGTCTCTGTCTCTCACCCACATACTAGAAAAGCAAAATCGAAATTGAAGATTATGTGCAGTTTATTTGATGAATCTTGTCTTTCTCCCTATGTTACGAGAAAATGCTAATACCCTAGCGAATTACTTATTGATATGCGCATTCCGAAACATGGTATACTTTCGTTCGAAACAGTAAATTTAATTCCAAATTTTTTTTCTAATATATTTCCTTAATGTTACCTTAGGAGAAAAAAAAAAAAAAAAAAAAAAAAAAAAAAAAAATCAAATATATGAACTAAAAGCGTAAGGTGATATGAAGGAAAAGTTTTTTTCTGGTGCGATTCTGTGAAAGCAGGAGCAAATACTTGATTTGTTGTGGTCATCAATGTGCATGGCCACATAGCTGTTAAATTCTAGTCTCACTATTTTAATGGGTTCTCTCTCCCTGTCTCTGCCTTTTTGTAATCTTAGTTTCAGATCTACATTGCAGGTAATATATTCAACCACTGCTTTTGTAACTAAGTTGCATGAAGCAGGAGCAGGGCAGGGTAGGAGGAGAGGGGCACATAGAAGAGTCTGAGGTTGGGAGAGCTTAGCAGACAGCTAATATATTTTATATATAAATATATTGTCTGAATTATTTTTGTTTCTTAGTTTTAATATATATATATATATATATATTACATAACCAGTTAAACTGTTAAACATAAGTACAATAAATTTTCATTCCAAAAGTAACAATTCATCACCATATCTTTACTCTTCAATCCTCACAGAACCCAAATTGAAAGATCTATTAAAAAATTTCATCCTTTAATTCTTAATAGGAAAGCCAAAATCGAGGATAAATATTTGTTCTCTACCAATATTTTTTTTTCTTGGTAGTTTTTCTTTGATTTCTTTAGGATTCATATGTTTTAGTGGTCCTATCCCAATTGAAACCATGATTCTCTCTTGACAGAATTGTGGTTATGACAAGATTCTTATTCTGAACCGCAGAATCACAGTTCTAGAGCGGAATCATCACCTCAATAGAAGATTCATGCAACTAAGATTTGCAGAGCAGACCAAAATGCGTCTATAGAAAAAATCAAACCTAAGACCTAATATTAGGTGCTATCTTTGGGATGTCTACACAGAAGACCTTCATGTGTATGGTCACTTTGGTTTCAGTCGGCTTGGGTTTCAATTCTTGGATGAATGTTCAAAAGAAAATTGTAGATTCAAATTTCAAGCCAAATTCTGAAAATATCATTCACCAGTTTTAATTGTCCCATCCACATTCTCCTGAATAATAAAACAGTGAACTCTTGGAATTGCATTCTTTGTTTGAATGAATTGACCCTGACAATATTTCAAACTTTACTTCAATAAGTTGAATAAATCCCTCGTAATCTTTCTGGAGATAATTAATTTTTTACAGTTGAGGTAAGGTTTTTTTCTTTAAAGCATATCTTTACTTATGTCTACTACTAAAAGCCCGTTTGTGATAATTTTGTACAATTTTGTTGTGTCAGTCAGTATATCATTGAATGCTAGGATTAGCATGCTGGTGCTATCAGGGATTGAGATTCTCTTACTATTTTCCCTCTTGTTCTTTGAACAACGGGGGTAAAGAAAAATAAAGCCTAGATTTTGTTTAAGAACCCTGTTTTGATCTTCACGTTGTTTTTAATGAGTCCCTTTTCTTCTCAGAAATGTCAAACAGAACACTGGGTTATATTACATCCTTCCCCAATCTTCTTACTGATGCTGAAGCAGAATATTCTTCGTGGGACATTTATTTGGGTTTTTTGTTAATATATTGTATTCTAAGTGGTTAAAATCTCATGGTATTAGCCATACCTGTTTTCACATGAAATACTAATGCCTGAGCTTTGTTGTAACATGCATTTTTTTCTTCCCTTTTCTACAGCCATATCTTCATGAATCCCGACACATGCATGCTATCAGAAGGGTAAGGGGGTCTGGAGGCCGTTTTGTAAAAAAGTCTGATGCTGAAGCCTCAAAATGCACAGCTGAAGAAACGGGAATAGGTTCTGCTTCTGCCACCTCATCACACTCTGCCAGTTCATCAGGTTCTGAACCTTTGCGCTGTGAGGCAGCTGAAACCCAGGATAGTCATCAAGAAGAAAAAGGGTCTGTAGGGCATGGAACTTGTGAACCACGAGGATATGCCAATGACGGCGACTCTTCAATCCAGCAATGTGGGAGCATCTCATCTAAAAAGGCCTCACAAAGGTCACTTGCTATGTAGTGAGGGGCTGTTGTGTGAAGGATTGTCTCTGTCTCTCACCCAATCAGGAAAGATGGAAACCATTTACAACCTGTGTTTTCTTGCCATGGCAAATCGTTCTTGGCTATTTTAAGATGAGTGTTGTGGCAGTGTAGAACAACACGAGAGAGATGTTAAACTATCTCTCTCCTCTTTTGTGTTTTGTACAAAGAGAACTCGTGTAGAATCTGAAGTTGGAAGGAAAGTCTGTAGGAAACCTTTTAAAGTTTGACAAAAGGTTTACTTATTTCTGTCCTCTTGTTATGTCTGATGTTGCAAATAGGATTTCAGTTGTGCCTTCTTGTGCAAGAAAGGTTAGGTTTTTAAATATTAGATGGTTGTTTTTGAGAAATAAACAATTGAGCTAGCAAATTAGCTCAGTTCTGTTAACCCAGCTCCTTTTATGGGTTGCTCTGTTTTTCAATTTTCTTCACCTCATGGTTATCTTCTGTTTTGTAGTGAAAATTTGATCCTGACTAATGAGGTGATCAGTGTGTTAATATTAGGCTTTCTTCTTATGCTATGATGGCAATGTTTATTTCTATTGTAGTTTGGAAGCCACTACTTTGCAAAGATCAACTCTTGGTTTTGGTTGATGGATTTTGGCAAAGAAGATAGGGCTGTGGCATGGGAGTGTGATTTCAGATGAGTTCTGTGCATCACGGTTTAGCAGTTCTAGTTTATAAAAGGCCCTTCAGTATGAGGCTGTTCTGTTCAAGGCTTGGCTGAAATTTTGTGTTTTTTGATTGCTTAGGTATGACAAAAACATAGGTATCACACCTAGTAAAGGAACACCTTAGCTGTTAGGTTAACTTTTAGTCTTTTGCTGAGCCCTTTAGGTAAACTATGCCTCTTGGGAAACTTGTGTTAGATCTATTTTAAAGCATTTGTAGCAACTAGCAAGAACAAAGATGAGCAAGCGATCTCTAAGAACCTAATCTAGTGAGGCAATTACGAAATCAGATGCGAATCCAAAAGCAAAGTGAATCCCATTTTCAGATCCTGCATGATTGAAACCGCGGATTGGACTAATGATATAAAAGTCTTTAAAAGAAAAGCTTCAATCCTCTCATAGATAGGAACTAATCCGTAGCCTAATTAGTGGCTTGAGCTAAAGTTAATTGGGCAAAGATGCAAGCCCCATTTGATAGGGCAACTAGAGTCATGAGTACGCTTATGACTCACCCCTATCTCAAAGGGGCCTTGCAAGCTGGAGTGATTATTTACAACCCTACAACTTTTTGACAAATGATTAATAAGAACAAATTGAGGAAGGCAAAAGGAACGTGTTAATATTATTATTAATTTTTTTTAAACATTAGTTGCCTAAAAATTGAGATTTTTATAGAAGAAACAACAATTAACTATGGACAACATCATTGGTGTAGAAGGGGATCAGAACAATAGGAGAATACTAGGGGCGAAAGTCTCTAGGAAATTATATGGATCAAACCTCTAGGAAACGAGAAGTTTTTCACAGCATGATGTTTATTTGAAGTATGAGTTTACTCTATTATTGTTTGATCCTTTGTTATATGATCATAGTGGCAAAATTAAGATTCTCTCTTAATTTGTGTTTTTGATAAGGGAAATTTAGCCAAAATCGATCTTTGTTTAGTGAAAATAACAGCTCAATTTATTTTATTTTATAAAACCCTAAAGAGAAAACACATAATTGAGAAAGGACAAAGTAATATTTTTTTTTTTTTTGACAATATTTTTAGAGTAACATGTTACTATTTACATCAATTTCGACGGTAATAATTTTTTTTTTTTTTTTTTTTAAGAATTTCATAGTCAACATGGATCTTATTTGATAGATTTTGATGAGAGGATTCTAAAAATACTATTTTTTTTAAAAACCGACAATGTTATTTTAAAGTTTAATATTTTGATAATACTGATATGTGTTGGACTTTTCAAGTAAAATTTTGTATATTTGTCCTTAGCATATTAAAGTTTTATTATGAGGAGGTTTTGACCAAATTCCCCTTTTCTCCCGAAACAAACGAAATGTTAGTGAAAAATAACAAACATAAAACACAAGAACGAATTTTTTTTTATTTTTTAATTTTTTTAAGCAAAATAAAGTCATTCATTCCAATAATAATAACAACAGATAAAACCCATACACATACAAAACATATAATTAGGCCTGAACTAAGGCCGACTTAGCCGCCTCATGGGCAGGCTAAACATCCTTCCTATTTACTTTAATGATACATACATGATCCAAACTACTACAAAATAGGTAATATCTTTCAAAATGGAGTCCAACTCTCATTCCACCTCTGTTTTTGTCCACAGCAACACTCGACAGTCTGTGCACAATAGGATCTGGACACCAACCAACATTGTTAGTGAAAGAGAATTGAGAGAGAACTTTATGTTATTAACACTCTAATCAGAAACCAAATGGAGGCTCCATAATATAGGAGCTGGATACAAAACATCATTATGTTATAAATCACTAAAATAAGAAAAAGCACACCGAAAGGAGGTGGGCGGCCGAAAGCAGGGACAAGCCGAAAGCTAAAGCTGTTATATACATTATAATATATTCCTATTATATACATAGTAACATATTATATTACATACTATAAGATTATATTAATAAGTATATGAATATGTTAACAGCCCCCCTCAAACTTAAGGAGGAGCAACCAACTGGAGTTTGGAGACAAGTTCAACGAACCGGCCAGTAGAATGAGCTTTGGTGAAGATATCAGCAGGTTGATCAGCAGAGGAGATTGGATGGAGATGGACAGTACCACGAGTGACGTGTTGACGAATAAAATGACAGTCAATCTCAATGTGCTTGGTGCGATCATGAAAAACATCATTGTGAGCTATTTGAAGAGCACTTTGATTGTCACAAAAGAGGGTAGTAGCACCAGAGGGGGAAACACCCATGTCAGCAAGAAGCCAACGAAGCCAGAGAAGCTCCTGAGTAGTATCAGCAAGAGCACGATATTCGGCCTCGGTACTGGAGCGAGCAGTAAGATATTGTTTCTTGTTGCGCCAAGAAATAAGAGAATCACCCAAGAAAAAGTAGAACCCGGTAGTAGAGCGCCGGTCAGTAGGATCCCCAGCCCAATCAGCATCGGAAAAAGCACGAAGCTGGAGAGAGGAGCGGGCGGAATAATGAAGTCTATGAAACAAGGTACCTTTGAGATAGCGAAGGATACGGACTAATGCAGCATAGTGAGGGGTACGAGGAGCTGACATAAACTGGCTGACAATATGAACGGCATAGGCAATATCAGGACGAGTAACAGTGAGATAGACAAGGCTGCCAACCAGCTGACGATATAGGGTAGCATCAAAGAGAAGAGTGCTATCAAGAGGTGTAAGACGACTCTGAGGCTCCAGCGGAGTGGAGGCAGTCTTGCAATCCGTAAGACCAGCACGGGTGAGAAGATCAGAGGTATACTTAGCCTGAGAGAGAAAAGACCCCGTGGAATCATGGAAGATTTCAAGACCCAAGAAATAGCTGAGAGGACCAAGATCTTTCATCTCGAAATGATGGCTAAGAAACTGTTTAAGGCATAGAATACCATCAAGATCGTCACCGGTGATAATCATGTCATCTACATAAAGTAAAAGCAGGGTGGTCCCTTGAGCTGTTTTCCGGATAAAAAGAGTAGTATCATAAGAACTGGAGGTGAAACCACAGTCATGAATAGTAGAGCTGAACTTGGCAAACCAAGCGCGCGGAGCTTGTTTGAGACCATATAAAGCACGCTGAAGTTTGCAAATTTTATGAGGTGGATAAGTAGACCCAGGAGGAGGTTGCATGTAGACCTCCTCAAGAAGAACACCATTAAGGAAAGCATTTTTCACGTCCATTTGATAAAGATCCCAGTGTCGAGTGGTAGCAACCGCAATCAGGCTGCGAACAGAGGTGAGACGAGCAACAGGAGCAAAGGTCTCCTCATAGTCAATACCATATTCTTGGTTGAAGCCTTTGGCAACAAGGCGGGCTTTGTAGCGCTCAATAGAACCATCAGAACAAGTTTTGATTTTGTAAACCCATTTGCAACCAATGGCAGTCTTGCCAGGAGGAAGATCAACAATGTCCCAAGTGTGAATTTTGTCTAAAGCCTGCAATTTATCAGTCATAACTTGCTGCCAAAGAGGATTAGAGCGAGCCTCACGATAGGAGGTCGGTTCATAAGTAGAAAAAGCAGTAGAACCAACAATAAAGTCACGAAGACGAGTAGAAGGTTGGGTTACCCGGTGTGGTCGAATAGAGGCAGGAGGAGCCAGAGGGAGAGACTCACCAGGAGGGGAGGATCCCGAGGGAGCAAGAGCAGAACCATCAGAGGTAGCAGGTGCATGGGACAGACCAGTAGGCAAGGCAGGCTCGAAAAAGGCTGGTAGAGGCGGTGGAGTAAGCTCATCAGAGAACTCGAGAGAGGCGGGCAAAGGCGGTGAGGTAAGCGCATCAGAGGTAGGCAAGGCAGGCTCGAGAGAGGCTGGTAGGGGCGGTGGAGCAAGCTCATCAGAGAACAGATCCGTGGAAGGGTCAGTAAAAAACAGAGAGGATGAGGGAACGGACAAACGAAAGAGAGAGAGAGGAAAACATTTTGTGTTCCCAAAAGACTACATGACGAGAGATACGAAGTCGCTGGGAGAGAGGATCCCAACAACGATACCCTTTGTGTTCAATACCATACCCTAAGAAGCAACAAAGGCGAGAACGTGGTTCAAGTTTGGTACGTTCATGAGGTTGGAGAAGAACAAAACAGGCAGATCCAAAGACCCTAAGGTTGGTGTAAGGGGGACGGGTGCCATGCAGACGCTCATAAGGAGTTTGATTATGAATGACAGGTGTAGGGATACAATTGATAGTGTAGGCAGCAGTGAGAGCTGCCTCTCCCCAAAAATGTTCCGGACAAGAGGAAGACAGAAGAAGAGCTTGAGTAGTGTCAAGGATATGTCGATGTTTCCGTTCAGCACGTCCATTTTGTTGAGACGTACCGGGACAGGAACGATGAGGTTGAGTACCATGACTCTGAAGAAAGGAAAGAAAGTCAAAATCTTTATATTCCATGGCATTGTCGGAGCGAAAAAGCTTAATATTTTTAGAAAATTGTGTTTTAACCATTGCAGCAAAATTGTAATAAAGTTGTTTGAGCTCAGAGCGAGTTTTCATAAAAAACAACCATATAAAACGGGAAAAATCATCTATAAAAACAACAAAATAGCGTGCGCCGCCCATAGTAGGAGTAGGAGAGGGTCCCCAAATATCAGAATGAATGAGATCAAATGGTGCAAGAGAAACAGAGGCACTTTTATTAAATGACAAGGCAGGTTGTTTGGCAAGTTGACAGGACACACAATCTAAAACATCAGAACTTACAAGACCTAAATGACCACTGGAAATTAAAGATTTTAAACGACCAACAGAAAGATGGCCTAAACGACAATGCCAAAGCTGAAAAGGAGATAAAAGAGGAGCAGTGGTAGCAGTGGTAGCAGTGGTAGGAGCTGTGTGAGAGGAATCTGGAACATG